GCTTTAATTTAGTATTCTGTTTCTGTACTTACTGCTAGTGGAGTTGGCTGGCAGGTTGATTAAACCATCTTCATTTAGCTGGTAGGAGACTTGTAAAACTGCCTAGAAGAATAAGCCCCCCAGGGGAAAGCAAACACTGGATGGGAGTCAGTTTTAATGTTTCAGACTTGGCTTCAAATGAAACTGTCTGCATAGTCATTCTTATTTAACAGGAATTTCAGGGGTTTTAGTAGTTTTAGAGGACAGGATCAAGAAAGCTTTAATTATTTCAATGTAGCATGCCTAATCTTACATCATGGTGTGTGTGTGTGTGTGTGTGTGTGTGTGTGTGTGTGTGTGTGTGTGTAAGGGAACTGTTGGCCATTTAGAGTAGTTTTGGTCAGTGGCAGCATTGCTGGCCAAGTCCCAGGGAGTAAGATTTGGTGGTGACTGACCTTTGGGCTGAAGAAAATTAACCCATGTGCTACTTCCTAGTCTTGTTGGCCTCAAAAACCATCAGTGGTTTACCCTCAAAAGCAACTGAAACTGGGCTCCCTCTCTCCCGTGGTGAGGGCTGATTTGTCTACTCCTCATTCGAAGACCAGAGACACCAGTGAGAGATAAAGTCAGGATCTTTGCTCTGACCCTCCATCAGGCCTATGGCCCATTTCTTTAAATCTACAGTTAGATCTTGGGAACCCAAGAACACAGCCACCACTGATCCACTGTCAATCTGCCTTTGAGTAAAAACAGATGCTACACCTATACTGAGTCTTGTTTCTTGGCAATCTTTTATTTGTAATCTTTAGCAAATGCCCACAACTGCCAGAGATGCCTCTCCTTTGCCTCTTCTCCCAGTGGTCTAAGGCAGGTATGAGGGTGAAAAGCTGAAGTCTCTGTAACCCACCCTGTTTTTCAATGAATCCTTTCTCCATCTGGCTCAGGGGAAAGAAGAGGAGCCATATGGGAAACAGCATGCTCTGCCACCCTGTACAAGCCTCCTCAAAAGCCAGAGAGAGGAGTCTGTTGGGATTTGGAATTGGCAGACACTTCTGTATCTCTGACGAGGGGTGGATCAGACAGCTAACAGGAAACTGAACTCCTCCTACAACTGCCTAGAGACAACACATGTCCCTGCTTCTATTCACCCAGGCCTCTGTCAGGCTGCTGCGTGCATCGGGAACGTAGTAGGATGGCTTCTGAGCTCTGCTCCTCGATGGCTGTGTGACCCCTGGCACTCACAGAGGCTCACCTCTCTTAGCCCGTTTCCTCATAAAAGAAGGTGTTGGATAGTTTTCTAAGGACACTTTTAACTCAAATTCTATGATGTGATTAAATTGTGAGACGGGGAAAGGAAAGTTTCCATAGGTGGAGGACCTTGGAATGAAAGTACAAATTTCTAAGGAATGTTCAGGTCTCTTCATTTTTACCTTTGATTACATTCGTCACCTCCATCACTTTCTAGAATTTCTACTTCTTTGCTCTGTGAACTTCGGCAAATTGCTTAGCACCTCTACATCTCTGTTACCTCTTCTAGAAGTTGGGAGCAATGACACCACCCATACAGGGTTGTGGATTTGGGTATCTTTATTTTGAGGACTAAGCGCTTATATATTTAAAGTGCCTAGCATGGCGCATGCTCATGGAGGAGTGCTCAATAAACGTGAATTTTCTTCACTTTCCCAACACCATACACAAAAATAAACTCAAAATGGATTAAAGACCTAAATGTAAGACTGGACACTATAAAACTCCTAGAGGAAAACATAGGAAGAACACTCTGACATAAATTGCAGCAATATCTTTTGGGATTCGACTCCTACAGTAATGGAAATAAAAAAAATAAACAAATGGGGCCTAATTAAACTTACAAGCTTTTGCACGGCCAAGGGAACCATAAGCAAAATGAAAAGACAACGTACAGAATGGGAGAAAATATTTGCAAATGATGCGACCGACAAGGGATTCATCTCCAAAACACACAAACAGCTATACAGCTCAATATCAAAAAACCAAACAACTCAATCAAAAAACGGGCAGAAGACCTACATAGACATTTCTCCAAAGAAGACACACAGATGGCCAAAAGGCACATGAAAAGATGCTCAGCATCACCAATTATTAGAGAAATGCAAATCAAAACCACAATGAGGTATCACTTCATACCAGTCAGAATGGCCATCATCAAAAAGTCTACAAAAAATAAATGCTGGAGAGTGTGGAGAAAAGGGAACCCTTCTACACTGTTGGTGGGAATGTAAACTGGTACAGCTATTAAGGAGAAGAGTACGGAGGTTCCTTAAAAAGCTAAAAATAGAGCTACCATATGATCCAGCAATCCCACTCCTGGGCATATATGCAGAGAAAACCATAATTCAAAAATACATGCACCCCAATGTTCATTGCAGCACTATTTACAAAAGCCAAGACATAGAAGCAACCTAAATGTCCACCGACAGATGAATGGATAAAGATGTGGTACATAAATACAATGGAACTTCACTCAGCCATAAAAAAGAATGAAATAATGCCATTTGCAGCAACACGGATGGACCTAGAGATTATCATACTAAGTGAAGTAAGCCAGACAGAGAAAAACAGATATCATGTGATATCGCTTATATGTGGAATCTAAAAAAAAAAATAGATACAAATGAACTAATATACAAAACAGACCCACAGACATAGGAAACAAACTTATGGTTACCAAAGTGAAAAGGTGGGGGGGCAGGGAGGGACAAATTAGGAGTTTACGAGTTTGGGATTAACATATATATACTACTATATATAAAATAAACAACAAGGACCTACTGTATAGCACAGGGAACTCTACTCAATGTTTTGTGATAACCTATAAGGGAAAAGAATCTGATTTATATATATATCACTTTGCTGTATACCTGAAACTAACACAATATTGTAAATCAACTATACTTCAATAATTAAAAAAACAAAGAACATTACTGATGCTCCTCAGAGCAGGAATATATGCCAAAGCAGAGATTCTCTGCATGTTCTTCGTGCTCCCTAAAGCTGTGTAGGTGAGAGAGAGGAAGACACTGCAGACTGGTGCCACTGTGCCCTCTTGGCCATCCGCCCCTCCCAGGGCTCTCCCTACCTCCTGAATCTTATACCCTCCTTCAGAAGCTGGCTCCCTGGTCCCCACTTCTGTGGATGCTTCCCTGGTTACTCTCACCAAAAGAACCTTCTTCCATGTCTGGAGTCCTGTCACCTTTACTCCCTGAGCCTACTTTTCACTTATATTGTGAAATATGTTTTGTATTTCAAATTGCCATTGGTATTTATACATCCTTTTGCTATTAACATTGTACCTTTCTCTGGCCTCTTTAGGCCAGATTTCTTGAGGGCAGGAAGCTTGTGTTTTTACAGCTCCCTAAACACAGCAAATATTCCACTGTGGGCAGAACCCATGGTAAGACATAATTTTACATTTTTCTTCTGTTCCCATAGCAGTGTTGTCTCCTCACATCCTTACTATTCTTAATTAATATTGAATTTTCTCTACAGCCACTCTGCTTCTTTTCATCACAGCATAGATGAGCCTCCTAAATTTGATTTGTGTTACATTTAGAAAGATTATTTTACTTTTCTCTTCTCTTTACATGTAAAAATGAGACCATGAATTTGTTTTCTTTGCCTTCTAGATGTCTCTCTGAGGTCTCAAAGATCTAGTCCCAAACTCTCCTCCAAGACTTTTAAAGGTGGGTAATACACTAGTCTTCCAATAACGAGACCTTTTCTTTAAAATGAATGTCATAAATGTCCTTTCCATACACTGGGCTTCATCAGTGTATTTCAAGTATTCCCGAAAATTGAAAATATGTCTCACAAATCAATTTCCAGTTTGACCTATTCTCCACAGTCAAATCCAAAAGCCTCCCTTAAAAGTTCTGCATTCCTCTGAAGCTAAATGATACAAAAAAAAAAGTCAGAAACACCCTTGCATTTGAATCACCACAGTCTCTCTCTGCTCCTATGGGCTGATTCAGCAGATTGGCTCCTGGTGGAGAGCACTGGTTTCCCAGCTAGTCTATGGCCTATTTAAAACAGACAGAGGCATCTCCAAGGCGGCTTTGTCAAAGGCCAAGGACATTTTTTCAGCATAGACACCAAGCTTCTTGCCACATAAACAAATAGCAGGATTTCACTTTAGCTTCCCCAGGTTTTTGGATTGACAGCAAATGGTAGGAGGGATACGGAAGCCAATAAGGCAGCCCAGGGCAGCTAGAAGCCCAGAAGGAAGACGGGAATTATTGGCTCTGGCTCCGCGCTCAGGGTGAGGCTGTGAGCAAGCCTCAGCCATGAAAGAACATCTGGAAAACCTCTCGGCTGGACTTTCCACCCGTAGACTCAGAGGCTGGATGATGTAGGAGTGAAGAGAATCTGCCTTGGATTCCTTACGTTCAGTGAGCATGTCTCACCTCTAGCTACACAGTGAAATCACCTGTGAGGTTGTTAAAAGCTGCCAGTGTCCGGGCCACACCCCAAACATGGTTGTTTCTGAAAAGACCTCTAGGGGATTCGTACATGCAGCCGGGATGGAGAACCACTGATTGGTGATAGTGAAAAGTCAGATTTTCTTTTGAATATCTTGACTGAGTTGTTTTTCTTTCACTTCTGTAGAAGACTTTTTGGGGTACATTTTAACTGTTTATAACATACACTCTCTATTACTTCCCTAACTCCTATCCTTAGATAGCCCCCCTTCGGGAGTTAAAATAGTGATCTCTCTATTTCTATCTATCTACCTACATACACACACACACAAACACACATGTAAATGAAACTTATATATAATCTGTGTAGTTTTCACCAGCAAATGGCTTACCTTGAATTCAATAAACCATCTTTTCTATCTTGAATAGTTCAGGAGTTAGTGGTTACAGTTTGTTGGATTACACACTGGAAACCAAGTGTCATCAGACTTGGGTCTAATCTGAACTCTATTATGTGATTTTGGGTAAGTCTTGTATATTCTTTTTGAGCCACAGTTTCCTTACCTGTGAAATGAGGGAGTCAGAGCAGGTGTCCTCCAAGGTGATTTTCAGCTCTAGTGTCCATTGGTAACATTCGTATTCACTGCTAAACATCATAGAGCAAGACCTACAGAAGAAAAGGAAGCTCTTTTTTCACATATGGCTGGAACTAACCTCTTGCCTAACCTTTAGGAACTGTCTTCATGCCCTGTGGCATTAAGAGAAGATCAAAGCCTACCTTTGAACTTCCTGGATGCTTGTCCCAGTTCTGCCTATAAACTTTCTGGGGAAGACTAATTTTTAAAATTTATCCATATAAAATGAGGAATCTGTCTTTAGAATGCTAGGGCTTTGTCTCCCAGTGTGTGTCCCGTGGAACACTAGTCTCACAAGATAGGCCTTGACAAAAAGGTAATGGAGATCAATAAATTTGAGAAATGAGGCACAATCTAACCCTCCTCTTAGTGATTCATGATACATATTAGTGTTAAAAGTGTTGTACAAGCACTTAGTAAAGAAACCTGCTTAATGCTGTTCAACACAGTTTGCTAAGGAAGTAATCATACTTGTTTAAGCAACCAATTAATATCCCAGGTTCAAGGAACCATGTAGAGAAATGTAGCTTGCTGCTCTGTGGCTTACAAGAAGCCTTGGGTATTCCTATCATCAGTGATATTTTTGATATGGTGACTCCCACCCACCCCATTCTCCTTGGGATGCTGTTGCTACTGAAGTCTACATCACACCTTCTGTGTGTGCCCAGCCTCAAAACCCAAAGCTTATGAACCTCTTTGGTTGGTTGAGCAGATTTGGGGAGGTCATAGATCACCTGGGAAAAAGAATGGAGGGAGAGGATGCACTCTATGTAGAATTCACTTGGTAATGCATGGCAGAAGAGAAGAGAGAACTTCCATGGTCCAATATAGCTGAGAAGGCAGGTAGACCAGGGACAGTAAGACCACAGGGAAGGCAAAATTAGTTCCCTTTCTCTGTTAATCATGATCTTTGATTAAACATATTGATATAGACACTTTATTTCGAGGATATAATTTTTCCTCTTTTTGATGGGTTTTTCTTAAAGAATAAGAGTAGGGTAGATCTAGGAGGGATCTTAGAGATCGCTGGGTCCAAATACAGCAAATAGGTGTAATGTATGGTGCCAGCTCTGACTAACAGAGGCTACCTGGAGCACTGTGTGGAGAAGGACATTGGGGCTATATCCTGACTTGACAGATTAAAATTTTGTGCAACTCCTAATGATAACTGCCATTTGTAAGGTGGTGGTACAGTGTCATGTGAGTGGAGTGTTATTTTGTTTTTGTTTTTAATGGCAAGGGTGTCGTGGGTTCTGTGTTGTGTTTTTTTTTAAATAAATTTATTTATTTATTCTTTGGCTGTGTTGGCTCTTCGTTGCTGTGCACGGGCTTTCTCTAGCTGCCGCAAGCGGGGGCTACTCTTCGTTGCAGTGCACGGGCTTCTCATTGTGGTAGCTTCTCTTGTTGCGGAGCACGGGCTCTAGGCACTTGGGCTTCAGTAGTTGTGGTGCGTGGGCTCAGTAGTTGTGGCTCACAGGCTCTCTATGCGAGCCACAACTACTCTCTCTTAACCACTGCGCCACCAGGGAAGTCCCATGAGTGGGGTGTTTGCCATTCCTTGTGACGATGAAGAAATCACTTGCAAAGGGAATATACTTGCCCAAACTCATACCAAATGACCTTTTTTTTGTTTTGTTTTTTTGCCTCCCTTCTCATTTATTGAGCATGAACAACATTCTTGATATTTAACAGGTAAAAGTGTATGGACTATATTCTTTGAGGTTGTCTCAACCCAGTCAATGTATGCATTCATTTGCTAAATATGAATAAATAGTGAGAACAAATTGGGATCAATTATACCCCAATTCAGGCCAGTTGCTTCCACTTATCTTTGCCTTTGTCTATGCAAACATCGCCAGTGTTTGTGACCAAATCTGGGGCACTAAGTCAGTGGTTTGAAAACATTTGGATTTTGTCGCTTTCACGTTTTGAAACCTGGGAAAAGGCTAACACAAACTGGCATTTGGGAGCCAACTGCTCCAGCTTCCCAGAGGCCTCTTAGGCCCGACCTCCAGGTGCTTTCTAGTCCTGACGTGTGCTTTTAGAGAAATATATATAGTAGATGATGGGAGCCTCTAGAGAGGAAGGTGCTTCCGTTCACTACATTTGTGCCCCCAAACACAGACACAAATGTGGCTCTCTGATGGGGGCCAGTACCCCACTTCAGGACCCTGGTTTCTAGCTCCTTGACTTCCGGCTGCTAGTCTTGGGGGATGACTTCACTCACCCCTCTAGTTCTGCTCCAAATATTCCCCCTATCTTCTACCTCTGGACACGCCTCAGCTTCTATCTTCCTCTTTGGCAGATCTTTACCCCAAGATAAAATCTTGAGATCTTATATACAACACACAGAAATGAATTGCCTGCTGAGATCAGGAAAGCTTTCAAATCAGGCCTCCTGTCCAACTACGAAGAACGTGTCCCAAAGAGCCAGTCTCCTTAACTGAGCCCAACGAATATTTTCCTTAAAGATTATCAACATCCAGTTCAGTTGCTCATGAAAACATATGTAGCTCTCTACTCTGCAAACTGATAGAAAGCTGGAATAAGCTCTTTTCCTTTAAAAAAGCTATTCCAATATATGTATATTTATATATTCACAGAAGATAGTCTAGAAGATGATGCACCACACTTTAATTATGGTTCACTTGGAGAATGGGAGTGGGGGAAGGGCTTGAGGTGGGTTTCATTTTCTACTTTATACACATCAGTTTTTTAAAAAATAAGAGCATATTTTCTAATTGGAAAATAAAAATATTAAGCAAATTTAGAAAAATGAAAAAAGGATTCTCAAAATCTTAGAGATGAAGAGAACCCCAAGTTCATTGAGCACTTTGATTCAAAAGCTGGTGTGAATCTTTGTCAAATAATTTTGCATGCATCTGTGTGTGTCTGTGTGTGCGCACGCACTGGTGTAAGGTTGCCAACTGTCCTTTCTTAGAAAGAACTGTTATTTATTCTGAATTATGTCTCTCTTACATTTTTGGCGTTAAAATGTCCTTTGGTTTATGAAATAATAGTAACAGTGAATGATGACTTTTTTATATCCTTAGTTGGTATAATAAATAATTGGAGATTCAATGTGAGTTCTCAAAACTTTAGACACTTATGAGTTTATTATAATTATAGTCTTGAAACTACTCATGTTAGCAAGTTTCCCATTTTATAGATGAGGGCATTGATACTCAGGGATGTTGTGAAGTGCTCGTGATAACTGTTCTCTCAAACATACCACACTCTCAATTTAAAAAAAATTATTCATTATTCACATAATACTTGCTTACTGAGCATATAACATTTATTGGACTAGGTGTTAGGAATAAATATAAATAAAGAGATATATCCTCTTGGAGCTTATAATGTAATATAATGGCTAAAGCAGCATTAGTTTACATACCATGTGTAAATCACTAAAATAATTTTCCTCTTCAGTATATAAATGAGTCTTATAGCATCTTATTTTACACATATCATCATTTCTTTATCTATAGTTTATTACTATTCTTTGCTTTGTCCATAATATTGGCATCTTGTCTTGTAGGCAGAATGAGTGTGTGTGTTCACTGTAAAGTATTTAACCAATGTTTAAATATACAGAGAAAGAAGTGAGAGTCTATTTCCATTTCTCACAGCCCTCCAGTACCACTCTGGTCTCTGGAATTAACCACTGTTAATAGTTTTTTGGATATCCTTCCAGAGCATCTTCCTTAGAGTATACACAAAGATTTGAGGTTACTCCTCTCCGTTAAGTAACTTTCCTCATATAATTATCTATTTCTGGTACTGTAAACTTGCTTTATCCCAGTTAGAGTGATCCTATCGTTTCTGAAAACAGGATCATCAACCACCCCTTCACAATTTTGCCTAAATGTAGGTCGTTCTCAACTTAAAAATAAGTTGTGTTCTAAAGGCTTTTGTTTTATAAGCTGATTGGAATGTGTTCGCTCATAAAATGATCTACAAATACGTCTTACACAGTGGTTGCAGCAGCACAAGAAAAAGGTCAATATGGAAAAGAACATTTAAAGACTACATGGGAGACAGACCTTCAAGATGACGGAGGAGTAAGACGTGGAGATCACCTTCCTCCCCACAAATACACCAGAAATACATCTACATGGGAACAACTCCTACAGAACACTTACTGAACGCAGGCAGAAGACCTCAGACCTCCCCAAAGGCAAGAAACTCCCCACGTACCTGGGTGGGGCAAAAGAAAAAGGAAAAAACAGAGACAAAAGAATAGGGACGGGACCTGCACCAGTGGGAGGGAGCTGTGGAGGAAAGGTCTCCACACACTAGGAAGCCCCTTCGCGGGCGGAGACGGGGTGGGGGGGTCCGCGGGCGGGGGGGGGGGAAGCTTCAGAGCCACGGAGGAGAGCACAGCAACAGGGGTGCGAAGGGCAAAGCAGAGAGATTCCTGCACAGAGGACTGGTGCCGACCAGCACTCACCAGCCCAAGAGGCTTGTCTACTCACCTGCTGGGGCGGGCGGGGGCTGGGAGCTGAGGCTCAGGCTTCGGAGGTCAGACCCCAAGGAGAGGACTGGGGTTGGCTGCATGAACACAGCCTGAAGGGGCTAGTGCACCACAGCTAGCTGGGAGGGAGTCTGGGAAAAAGTCTGGGCCTGCCTAAGAGGCAAGAGACCATTGTTTACGGTGTGCGAGGAGAAGGGATTCAGAGCACCGCCTAAACGAGCTCCAGAGACGGGCGCAAGACGTGGCTATCAGCGCGGACCCCAGAGACGGGCATGAAATGCTAAGGCTGCTGCTGCAGCCACCAATAATCCTGTGTGCGAGTACAGGTCACTATCCACACCTCCCCTCCTGGGAGCCTGCGCAGCCCGCCACCCCCAGGGTCCCGGGATCCAGGGACAACTTCCCCGGGAGATCACACGGTGCACCTCAGGCTGTTGCAACGTCATGCTGGGCTCTGCCACCGCAGGCTCACCCCGCACTCTGTACCCCTCCCTCCCCCCGGCCTGAGTGAGCCAGAACCCCCTAATCAGCGTCTCCTTTAACCCCGTCCGGTCT